ACCATTTATGAAATTAACCCATTTGAAAACAGCAAACCAAACGAAGTCTAATTTTCTTAAATATTTGTCTTTTATAAAAAAACATTGTACACATAATAATTCGTTCGTGTAAATTTTTAACTTCACTATATTAAATGTAGTTGATCCCAAACCCACAAAATGAGGATTTTCAAAAAGTATTTTTTAATAAAAAATAAAAAGATGAGAAGCTCATGGGATAGTTCTGCTCGACCTATAGGCCCACAAGCTTATATATCGAATCAAACTCCAACAACATGCATGATTCGATCCAAACGAGCTGAGCTCGTGTTTTTATGGCTTAAGCTGAGTCGGCTCACCTCGACCTATTGCTATTTGTAGATGTAGTTGAAAACCTTGAGAACAGTAGTATTATAAGAGGTTTCAAAATCATTGATTGACACATCTTCCTCTTTAAATTACGATAGCAGAACCAATGGAAAAAGTAAGGCCAGAGGCCATTATTAACGTTCAAAAGGATTATATGGGTCTTGTTAATATACTCCATCGAACGTGAGACAAACAAGCTTCGAGCTAGCAAAATCACAAATAATAGATTAGGTTATCTTTCTAGCATGATCAATGACTACGTAGGTGATGCATATGAATATGTACATGGGGATATCAATGAGATGGATGTCTTTCCAAGTGTTCAGATTTGGAAGCTCTCTCTCTCGTGAATTTGGTTTATATTAAGATTATTACAAGTAAATTACGACGCTCATAAAATGATGTATTTTACAAATATATTATGATGCTCATAAAATGTTGCATTTGATGAAACCATGTGAAATATAAATTATGCATTGTTCATTAACTTTCTTATGATCTATTTCTTTAATCATTGGTAAGCTTTGGCCCCTGTTCGACCCCACTCTTTTTTTTTTTTTTTGGTTTTTTGAAACTCATTTTCCCAATCACATTTGCTAAACAACATAATTTTACACTTAAACTCAAAACTTTTCTTACTTTTCAATAACATATTTTCTAAAAAATTATTATTATAAAATTTAAGGGTTCAAACAAATCCTTATTTTTGCTTTCTTTTTCTTGAGATCTGGCCAAGCCTCTTATGTTTGCCCCTATGACGGGTCTCAGGGGGCTCTGTCCGTATCACGGTAGGTCTTGGGCCAAATTTTAAGTGATTCGTCCCCATCGATATCCTTACCTTATCTTTATTAAATCTCACATCTGACACCAAACCAACTTCACCAATTCCCATAAAACTAATTTTGTAAGTTTGTGGGCTATCGTGTTGTTAAGTTTATACTTTGTTCTTGCCATCATTATGGAATTTACAAAAATGTCTAATTTCACGATTGTCAATTAAAAAGTGTCTAATTTTACCAACTTTTGCAAAAATGGCCAAATTTAGTATCAAATTATCTATTATACCCTTAATGAAAAATGAAGTAATTTTTTTCACTTTGTCTCGAATTTCGAGAAGAAGAAGTAGTTTCCATGAGAAACTACATTAAAATGACGTTCTCGACATTTTAAGAGTTGTTATCGATATTTGAATCTTGTTTATCTTGATATTTCAATTGTCTATAACAAGATTTTATTCCGAACATGAGAGTTATTTACATTTCATAAAATTTCTGACATTTGAAATATAGTTCTCGATATTTAATACATGTGTCAATGAGAAATACAACATTTAATATGATTTAACATGTATACTTTTGAAATAAGTATGGTAGGTTCTGTGTCAAAATTTTATTGATCAACAAAATTTTTAATTGTATGCATATTTTTGTCTTTAGTTTGAAATTATAAATTGTTAACGATGTGATATTTTGGTCAAAATATTGCAAAATGAACATTGAACAAAATTTGGACATTTTTACAAATTACCATGTGAAAGTGGACATTTCTTGTAATTTCCTCTTATTTAATTTATGAACATTAAAGTTTCAACGTTAAATTTGATATTCTAATGTACAAACAAGCCCACTCTAAGCTTATTTGACACAAATTTATCGGCTAAGCCCTGTTTGGTTGACATTGAAATCTAATTTTAATTTTAATTTTAAGTCAAAATTAATAATTAATTTTAATTAAATAATTTATAAGATATCCAACTTTTAAATCACACGTTTCATCAATTTTTATCAAAATTTAATAAAAATCTAGTAGCCTGTTTGAGCCCCATTTTTATATTAAAATGCATTTTGAAATAATATTTTAATAAATAATGCATGGTTAAAACATAAAGAATAAATTTTGAATTTGCGTGTAATATTATTTTATTAAGAATATATGACTAAAAATAAAAGAAAGAAAAATATATTTTAAAAATAATGACTAAACAAGAGCCTAATTTTAATTTACACATGACTAATGACTATTTGTTAGGAATTAAAATCAAAATTTTAATTTTAATTTCCATTACTTTAAAAAGGAAAAAATAACTTGTACTTTAATTAAAGCATTAAGTTACTTTTGAATAACTTTAATTTACTCTAATCACTTTTCTTTAAAAGTTATTTTCTTTATTGAATTTAGTAAAAGGAAGCTAATCTTTTAGGGCCATCTCAAATTTCTATTTCTATTCCAATTTCACTTCATATCATAACAAATCTTAATTGCCTCGAGATCAAATTTTAAAGAATTGAAGATTGCTAGTAGAAATGGCGAAATTCGGTTTCATTTGATTGATTTCAGTACGCCGATCATTAATATCATTGCATTTACGCTGAATAATTGCCTTATACTACCTCAAATTTCGCCATGGTTAATAAAGAGAATAAATCTTTGCAAGTTTTCTGCATTGGAACAGCTGACACGAAGCTGGAAGAGCTCCAATTTCTATCGGAGTCTGTTCAGTCCAATCTGAATTGCTTTCCCAGTAACAAATCCTCCAAGGTGTGTTCCTTTTTTACCTATTTTTTGTTTACTGATTTTTCGCATTGATGTATTGAATTGCTCAAGAATTAAGGAAATTAGAGTTTTTTCTGCTTTGCTAATTATTTTGTGTGTTGAATGTTGTTGGGAATTTCTTGAAGTAGTATTTTAAGTGCTACTGAACGGATGTGCTTGTATTGTTATGATCTCACTTATATTTTTCTTGAATTTGGCATTCGAATTGATGTTTCATGTATGGCATTGAGCTGTTCTAATTTAACTTGGCAATCAAGATTGTAATATTAATCTGATTATCTTTGGTTTTATTATATGCTGATTTTACAATATGCCAATATAGCATGCATTTGAAGTTCTTGGTTTAATTTGATGTTTGGGGGCACAGGTCCAAGTCACAGTAGTTGATGTGTCTACTAGTAAGAAGGATATTAAGAGCTGTGGGGATTTTAAATTTGTATCAAGAGATGATGTTCTGTCTTGCCAACCTGGAGTGGGGGAACGTGTTACCTCACTTCCAGATGATCGAGGCAAAGCTATAGCGATGATGAATAAAGCACTTGAGAACTTCCTCGGAAAAGCTCATGGTGATCGAGTTCTTGCTGGAGTTATTGGCCTTGGGGGCAGTGGAGGGACATCATTAATGTCTTCTGCCTTTAGGTCACTCCCACTTGGAATCCCAAAGATAATTGTGTCGACTGTGGCTAGTGGTCATACTGAACCATATGTTGGAACATCTGATTTGGTGTTATTTCCATCTGTAGTCGATATTTGTGGCATTAACAGTGTGAGTAGAGTGGTTTTGTGTAATGCTGCCACTGCTTTTGCGGGAATGGTTATTGGAAGACTAAAAGGTTCCCAAGGGTCAGCCACTAATGATGACAAGTTTACAGTCGGTATAACCATGTTTGGGGTTACTACTCCATGTGTAAATGCTATCAAAGAAAGATTGATTCAAGAAGGATATGAGCCCTTGGTTTTCCACGCAACGGGAGTAGGAGGAAGGGCAATGGAGGACCTTGTTAAACGAGGATTTATAAAGGTATTCCAGTCACATTATATGTTTTAGCTTACCTTCACAATTCTTACCTTGCTTGTTTGGATGTCCTGCTGCACATTGTGGACCTAGGTTTCAGCATTTGACAAAGCTTGAGATTGTATCTAAATGGAGCATGTTTCCCTCTTAACGATTATGATAATAAATATCTAATCGTGAAAAAGAAAATTAACTTTATCCCATTTCCAGGTGACTGAATTCAGCAATAGATCTGCAAATAGGAAGATATATGGTGAAGTCTTCATTTGGTTTTGGATAGGAGACTTTGTGTAATTACTTCACCCCATTTCAATTGATAGAATCTCCTATTATTTCTTGAATTATCCTCAGTGGCAGAAAATAACTATGCTGCAAGCTAATAGTTATGAGTGCTATGTTAGTAAAACTATGATAGCTTCAAATTAAATTATAAGATGTTGATTAGATACTTGATCAATTCTATGTTGAGTCTGTGCTAATTGTTTTAAGGAAAGATTGACTCGAGAAATATGCTTTTCACTTGATCTGATTTGTAGATGGAAATGTTTGCATTGCAAAATCACTTAATAATAAAAAATAACATTCAAGGAAATATGATTGCATATACTTTGACCATAGGAGACTGCATCAACATCATATGATGTCAAAATTGTTCTCGTGTTGTCCTTTTATGAGATAGATTATGTGCTTCTAATTGTCATGAATGCTATGTTTATCCGAACTTTGATAACATCAGCCTTTTATGGATCTTAACTTTTCCTTATCAAATCTCTGTTTCTTTATTTTCTATAGGGTGTTTTAGACATCACAACAACCGAGGTTGCTGATTACATTGTTGGAGGTGTTATGGCATGTGACACGTCCCGCTTTGATGCCATACTAGATGAGAAGATACCCTTAGTTATAAGTGTGGGAGCATTGGATATGGTGAATTTTGGACCCAAATTCACCATACCTTCTAATTTTCAGCAGAGAAAGATTTATGAACACAATGAGCAGGTGGTAGTTATATCTCTCTCTCTCTCTCTCCCCTCTATAGTCCAACTTCTCTCATTTTGGGATACACACACAGTTTATCAATTAAGAATATGCATATGGTATTTTGGCAGCATAGTATCAATGATAGAGGATTTGAAGGAGCAGAATTGATCAACAACAATTTCTAAAAGAGAGTGAATTAGTACTATATATAGCCCCTGTATGTTGTAGATTAAAATCAGATTTTTAGTAGATTTTAATAAAAGTTAATGAAATATGTGGTTGAAAAGTTGTGGACCCCATGAAATTTGTGGTTAAAATTAATTGTTGACTTTGACTTGAGATTAAAATCAAATTTTAATCAGAAACAAACAAGGGCATAGTGACTAACCCAATCTGGCCAGTATCATTGAGACACCCTAAAAGTCGCCTACTAGCAACCATATCTCTGAAAATTCTAAAATTCAAAATTGCAGAAATCTGCAACTATGTCAATCTGAAGTTGACTTAGAAACAAAATTCACAAAAAATAAATATGAAAACATAAGAAAAAAGCCCAGTAGACCATAAAAGAGTAGAATTATTGCTGAAAAGTTGTGCCCAACAAGTCAAGCCGTATTGTTTTCTCTCATTCTCTGCAGAACTCAAAAATAGTTTTTCATTTATGTCTTGCCTGGGTAAGTCCTTCCACTGTTTAATTAACTACCAAACATCTCTACTCCCATTAAACTCATCCCATATGAAAGCTGTGGTCTTTATCGTTTTATTGACGAACAGAACTTCCATTTGGACTTTTGGTGGTCCAATATGCATCTACTCTACCTCAAAATATTTAGGATCTTGTGACTGGTAAATATAAAAAACCTACCAACAGGAAACTTCATAATTTTGTTTCATTATAAAGCATCTGAAAGTCTTTAAGATAAGTTGTGAACCGTTCCCTGTGAAGAACCAACTAGTAGTTGTCTTTTTCAGGTTTCGCTGATGCGAACTACAGTGGATGAAAATAAGAAATTTGCTGCATTTATAGCAGACAAGTTGAACAAGTCATCATCGAAGTTTTGTGTTTGCCTTCCAAAGAAAGGTGTCTCTGCCTTGGATGCACCCGGAAAGCCATTCTATGATCCTGATGCTACTGGTGTTCTCATAGAGGAAGTAAATAGGCTAATTGAAAGAAATGAAGATCGTCAGGTCTCTTCATTGCTCATCGAATAGATCATCTATGCTTTCCAACCTTCTCTACTGCTTGGCTTTAGGAAGATTACTTCATTTATTTAACATTTTTATTCATTCATCTTATTGTACCTATAGGTTAAAGTTTTTCCACATCATATTAATGACCTGGAGTTTGCAAACGCACTAGTTGACTCATTTTTGGAGATCTGTTCAAATAATAAAGGTGCATGCAGTAATCAAACCAGCTATGAATCCATCCAAGACATTCAAAAGGATACTTATGTTTCTGAGACAAGTACCCAAAGGAATTCAACAGTTTCATACTGCCTGAGCAACTTCCCCAATGCAAAACAAGGTTCTAGTCTCCATGCCCCCACAATTTTCATTATTGTCATCTTTATTGTTTTCACTTAGGTGGTACACTCAGATATTCACATATTTATTATTACATTTTACTCAGCTCAGCCTTCCCCCCTAAGTTATCAATACTTATCATTTCTTGATGGATGTCACCATGAAAACTGAAGTGAATAAGATTCTTAAGAACAAAATATGTAAATGAATCATTTGTATTAACTTCATCCACATATCCCGGAATTTGGTAATTCATTGGAACCAATGTTTGAATGCATTCCCTTGCGGGTATTCATTACGTCCTTCAGAGGTCATTTAATACGGCTCATGCATTACGTTTGGTGAAATTTGATGTCTTCCACACATAAATGCCTATGTCAAACTTAAGATGCCAATAAAGAGAAAATTTCTGGTTACAATAGTTCGAACTCAGACTGCCTAAATTAGACAGATGTTTGAACAAATACTTCTAGGGTTCTATGTACTCGCCATTGCTTGAGTTCTGCATGTGAAGGATTAGAAATAAAATGTGGAAGGGATCAAGTAGGTTTCTCTATATTTTCAGTTTCTATTTAAACAAGGTCTGGTAACATTATTTATATTTTAAGCAGAAATGCTACAAAGAACACAGCAGATACTGCAGCAATTGAAAGATCAAATAAAGAAGGGAAAACCCATTATTGGGGCTGGTGCAGGGACCGGCATATCAGCTAAGTTTGAGGAGGTTGGTGGTGTGGATCTAATTGTCTTATACAACTCAGGCCGCTTTCGCATGGCAGGAAGGGGGTCCTTAGCGGGTTTATTGCCATTTGCTGATGCAAATGCAGTAGTACTTGATATGGCGAATGAAGTGTTGCCTGTAAGTATTTTAATTTGTTATTTATAGAACTTTCTGATATTAAAGGCTTTTGAAATTCATGCTGAAAAGATCTAGAACCTGGTGTTTCGAAATTGAATCTTTACGAACCAATTCTGTTTTTGAAATTGAACTAATTTTGCTTTCGAATGGCACGAGTCTGTATGCTATTCATAGTCAATGTTTGGTTATTCCCTGCCTTATACTTTGCATGTACCGATGTCTACACTAAAGAAATCTGAATGATTTATTTCAAAATTATTAGATTAAATTAAATTATTATTCAATTACATTGTGCAATGCACCGTCTTATTATGATTGTCCAAGTTACTGGTGCACTTTGTACTTAAAACATGAAAAATTTGCTTCAGATATCTGAAATATATTGTAGTATATGATAAGAGCATTTGAAAGCTTTAAAAGATGATGTGTAAAGTCCTCATTCCAGTTTGTTAGAGAGAATTAACATGAAAACCTTCTCTTTAACTTTTCTTTGTCCTCTTCTTTCCATTTTCTTTAATAACTTTTCAATCTGTGGCTATTGAAAATAATCATTTATTGGTACTTGGCTGCAAATAGGTGAAACTTCAAATTGAATTTGAAAATATAAACCGTTCCCAATTGTGTTACAAGCTATTTCTTCTCATGGTCACGCGTATAGGTGGTGAAAGGGGTTCCAGTTCTTGCTGGAGTCTGTGGAACTGATCCGTTTCGAAGGATGGATTACTTCCTGAAGCAATTGGAGTCCATTGGGTTCTCAGGGGTGCAGAACTTTCCAACCGTTGGGTTATTTGATGGTAATTTTAGACAAAATCTGGAAGAGACTGGAATGGGATACAGGTACTTCTTAGAATTTATGATATTTTACTTTTGTTTTGTCATCATGGTCCACACATGCATCATCTAAATCAACGAAAAACGAATGTTTTATTTTTGGATCCCATGATTAGCTTGGAGGTTGAGATGATCGCAAAAGCTCATGAAATGGGCTTCTTGACTACCCCATATGCTTTCAACCAAGATGAAGCAGTTTCAATGGCAGAAGCAGGTGCTGATATCATTGTGGCACATATGGGGCTAACTACATCTGGTTCTATTGGTGCAAAAACATCTGTCTCTATTGAGGAAAGTGTAGGTTGTGTACAATCTATTGCAGATGCTGCTCATCGGATTAATCCTGATGCTATTGTGCTCTGCCATGGAGGTAATATCTTGAAATTTTTAACTGTCATAAAATAATTAATACTTTTCCAAGCAACATCATGGGTTTGATCATTACATCATTTGATTCTAATTTTGTGTATTAGAATGTTTTCTGTATTTTTATATCTAAATATAGCTTCACCTTATACTTTCCATAGATAATGGGATGCTCATAGTTGCAGATGACGATACCACGGAATTAAGAATAATGCTATCAAGCACTAGTGGTACTAGACCACTTGTCTAGATAATCCCATTTGATAGGTTTAATTAAATAAATCATGTGACATTACATATAAGTAAATCTATAATTTAATACCATGCATTTGCCACTTATACTGGTGCTTGACACCAGTTGTGCTAAACTTTAATGCTTGAACTTGGTACGGGTATCGGGTACGAATACGTATCTAATAGTCGAATATTTTATTTTCTAAAATGTAGGATATGTGGACATATCTAAAAAGAGTCCAAATTTCGGACACGAGAATGTGGATATGTTGCTAAGCGATTTTTTTGAAAAAATTATGACATGTTACGTTGTCAACATGTTGATTAAAATATTTTCAAATTTTTGCAATTTAATAGTCTAAAGTAGTTAGTTTTTTATACTTATTGCATCATATATAAATTGGTAAATAACAAATAGATTTAGCTGGATTTGTAATTTGGGGAAATGGTAAATTTAAATGATAATAAGTTTGCCTCCTTTTTTAGATTTAGAATAATTCTTTATTGTTTTTTAATTATAGGTAAAAAGGTAACTCTATTCTTACATTAATAAAGTTTATTTCACCTTTTCATTTACAATTCATCCAATAAATCTTTTCCTAGTGGGCTTCTTCTATTAAATAATTGGGCTTACAAGATACTGACCCAATAATATTAAAGCACATACGTTTGCCGGCCAAACAAGTAGACGACGCCCCTTCATTTCTCCTTCAACAAATTAGGGTTTATGTTCATCTTCTTTAGCCGCCAACTTAAATCGATGGAAATAATAGCATAAACATTTCTTCTTCCTCAACCACTAATTGAAATCGATGCCTGAACAGTTCTTCTTCCTCACCTAGTGTCACCGACTGCAGCTTTACTTAAGCCCCGTGACTCTATCGCATCCGCAGTTTGC